TCCTTGATTTGAGGGTCGATTCATGGACGAAATTGGATGAATTTCTAGATATAGCCATATGAGTTTTGGGTAATATTTATTTTTTAAAAAATTTGGAATTCGGGTACGTGGGCCTAGTGATTTTATCGACTTTCCGAGCGAAGTTAGGAATTGTTGTAAATTAAATTGTTATGATTATTAGAGTATATTTTTATTGGTTTGCACATTTATTGACTAGTTTTGGAGCGTTGGGCATCGGTTAAAGTTGTTGGAAAGGCTTGAGAGTCGGTTATGGAATTTCGGCGCGAGGTAAGTCTCTTGTCTAACCCTATGAGGGAGAAATTACCTCTAGGTGTTGTAAATTGATGTATGCTACTTGTTTTGGGGCTACGTATGCGCTAAGTGACGAGAGCCCATACGTAGCTACATTCATGTTATTGTCCAGGTAGGCTTAGGTTCACATCTTGCGATAACTGTACTATTTGAGTAGTCTCTTGCCTATTAAATTCCCCTGTTTTACATTACCACCTAAGACTAAACCCGCTATTGTAGAGACTTCACGAGTTCATGATTAGTCATTGAGTAATTGTACTTCTCTTACGAAATGATCTCGATATATATATATATATATATATATATATGTTTTCACTGAAAGGTTTTGTTAAAGAAATTATAACTCACACGTTTATTCGTGAGTGGGGTCAAGGACCCGTTAAAGCTTCTTATTCTCATGGGATCGGGCCGTTCGCCTCGGCAAGATTATGTATTTCACTCTTATGGGATCTGGCCGTTCGCCCCAACAGGATTTATATGCCACACTCTCATGGGAGCGGGTCGTTCGCCTCGGCATGTTAATAGATATATCTATGGTTCGTATTGTTCGAACCTCGGCAAGGCATAGTTTAATTATTATGTTGGATCGGGCCGTATGCCTCGGTAATTCCTATATTATATCCTTATGGAATCATGCGTAATATTCGGTAAGAAGTCACTGTATCCGTGAGTTTTTCAGATTTGAATCATGATAATCTATTTGATGAGATCCACTATACCTATATGTGCTCCGGTTAAGGAGGAAATTTCTAATGGGAAGTTTGAATTCATTGTAAAGAGGGGAATTTGTATCACGTGATTTTCTTTATGCTGACTTAATTCATTTATTTACTGTGCCTCATAATTATTTTCCTCTTTACTATACCTAATGTTATTGGACTACTAGTGAGTATCGATGTTGACCCTCGTCACTACTCCTTCGGGGTTAGGCTAGATACTTACTGGATATATGTTATTTTCATACTCATACTACACTTGCTGTATATTTTGTTGTGAAGACACATGTATGTCTAGTGGCCTTGTGGGCGCAACAGCGTGGTTGCTACACGGACTTAGGTGAGTTGTATTCTATGCTACGATCCGCAGCCAACAGAGTCTTCTTCAGAGTAATTGTATTTTTCTTTCCTGCCCAAATTTGTATTCCAGTATTTTTTCTTATTTCCTAGTTGATGCTCATGCACTTGTGACACCGGGTTTTGGGGTGATTATGGGGTATTCAGTATTGAAATGGTTGAACCTTTATGATTTACTTTGTAAATTCCATTGTATACTATTAAATTGAAGAAAATTATGATTTAAAAAATACTAAAATGAGAGCTAAATTAAGTATTTATTGTTGGCTTGCTTGACATTAATATGCATCTCAAACAACGGAAATAACGGTTACAGCAAGAAAACCTACAATTTCGACTAAGTACAAGCCAAGGAAAAACAGAAATTTCACTAAACATGCTGCAAAGAGTTCAGATAAGCAATTAAGACAAGTAAACATGTTATTACAAGCTAACATGATACTACACATGCTGATATATCTCAAATAAGAAGAAGAACAGGTTATTACTCAGTGAAAATCAGTTTTTTACGATAATTAGCCCATGTACGTACTCGTCACCTCACGTACACGACGCTCACATATCAAAAACAATACCAAATCCTAAGAGGAGTTCCCCCACACAAGGTTAGGCAAGCTACTTACCTCGAACCAAGCTCAAATCAATCTGTAATAATGCTCTTCCCACGAATATCCGACTCCTAATTCGGCCTAAGAACTTTTCTCAATTTTTTCTAATATTTCACCCCAAATTCGAAATTAAATAATAAAATTAATGATATATTAGTGGGATATAACCAAAATCAAGTGTAGAATCATTACCCAATTGATGTCTCTGAAAATCCCTCAAAATCTCGTCCAAATCCGAGCTCCCAAACTCAAGTTTTGATAAAAATGGCCAAACCCTCATTTTTGAAACTTTATATCTGCCTAGGTAATTCTTTCTTCGAAAACGCGGTCAAAGCCTCGCGTTCGCGAAGCACAAGCTGCTTCAGTCCTAAAATACTGATCGCGAATGCAATGCACTGATCGCGAACGCGAAATTCACCTTGCCTGACCCTACGTGAATGCGGGACACTCATCGCATACACGTAGGCTATTTTTCCAAGAACCCATCTGACCGTTGACTCTACGCGAACGCCAGGTCTATATCGCGAACACATGGCCTTAATGATCCACGTCTTTGTGGATGCGAGAACCACGTCGGGAATGCAAAGAGCAACTCGGTTGCCTCCCCAGATACCTTACGCGAACGCGAAACTTCTCTCGCGAACGCGATGAAGAAAATCTCTGCAACAAAATACCAAAAAAATTGCTACTTTCCTAAGTCCAAAAATGATCCGTTAAGCACCCAAAACTCACCCCAGGCCCCCGGGACCTCGACCAAACATACCAACCAATCCTAAATACCATACGAACTTAGTCGGGCCCTCAAATCACATCGAACAACGCTAAATTCACGAATCACCCTCCAATTCAAACTTAAAGAACTTGACATTTTAAATTTCTACAACGGATGCCGAAACTTATCAAACCACATTCGAATGACCCCAAATTTTGCACACAAGTCATATTCAACACAACTGACCTACTTCAACTTTTGGAATCGGAATCCGACCCCTATATCAAAAAGTCCACTACCAGTCAAAATCTTCAAAAATTCGACTTTCGCCATTTCAAGCCTAAATAAGCTACAGACCTCCAAAATATAACCGGGACATACCCCTAAGCCCAAAATCACCCAACAAGCTAACGGAATTGACGGAACTCCATTCCGGAGTCGTCTTCACACAGTTCCGACTACGGTCCAAATTCTAAGACTTAAGCCTCTGTTTAAGGACTAAGTATCCCAAAACACTTCAAAAACTAAAACGAAACTTTCCGGCAAGTCACATAAGCAGAAAAAGACATGAAAGAAGCAGTTAATAGGGGATCGAGGTTATAACTCTCAAAACGACCGACCGAATCGTTACAATCGGGGAGAAGAATAATTAACCAGTCAAATAACACACAAAAGATGGAGAAAAAGGTTGCCTTAGTATGTGAAAACGATACGTCTTAGTTCTTGCCTTTGCCTTTCGGCTTCCTTTATCTTAGTAGCTTTAAATCCTTATTAAAATACTAGAATAATGACGACGTCAGTTTTTATGCTTCGTTGACAAGCTTTTTTTTTTTCAGTTACCCTTCCTACTTTTGTGTGTGTATGTGTGTAATTGGCCAGGAAACAATTTTAAGACTGAGAATTGCATTTTTGCTCACGTTGGTAGATGGCTGGATCAGCTTTAATTCAATCTGAACATGTATAATTGGAATAAGAGGAAACACTAAAGGATAAACAAAGATCAGTGGGTTATGAAATGAGTTAACTTATTACTGCTTGTTTATGGAATTAAAAACCTCTAAACTGGCTTATTTTCTATATGATTACAGGCTTTAATGATTATATGATCATTGGATATACAGTTTTTACTTTTAATATAATAAACACCTATAGTAAGGCTGTAAGATGATGTAGTTAGCTATCTGCAAAGAACAAATGACAAATAAGAAATTGCTCCTTTTCTTTTACTTTATCTTTCCCTTCCCTAAAATATACCAATATTTCACCTTAATTGGCCGTACGAAACTACAAAATATTGCATATTACATGTAAAAGTCACAAATTATTCACTGTGAAATTCGACTTAATAAAGAAGCACATCCTCTTCACCTTTTGAATGTGACGGATAATTTGACATGCATAATTAAAGTTAACAACAAAAAATGATGAGAGAATTATTGCGAGAATTTCAAAAAGGTTAAGCATGGCCTTTGATTATTACAGATATAACACGTACCTGTTTCAACAATGAAAAATTACACAATGCATTAAAAAGTGAATTTCACTTAACCAGCTCCATATTATTTGGGGTTCGGAAAAAGGATCTCGCATTCATTGGGACGAAGAACCCAATTTAATTTGCTTCAGTCATAAATACGTAAAATAAGACAGTTTTTGCTTATTATGGATTATAATAAAGATAATCTTAGAAAAAGATAGAAGTGAAAATTTGAATGAGACGCCGTATTAATTAATCATAACCAAGTAGAAAACACGTCTCACACTTATTAAATTAATAAAAATATCTGGTATGGTGTGGGTAATATATATCGATTTATCGAGTACCAACCTTCAAAATAAGTATGCCACGTGAGATATCAATAGGCTGGGCCGGCGTTATCAATAAAAAATGTGTATTTGTCTTGGAGCCGCAATATTAAAATTGACGACCAACTTAATTCCAAGTTTGAAAAATCAAGAGGAGAAGGAATTATCAAAGAGTAACATGGAACACAAACATGCGATAAAGTAATGTATCAAAAACTACCATTTTTTTAAAAAAGAAATACTCTCCTATCCGTGTAATCTAAACCGGTAAAATTGTCTCATAGTCAATTGTCAACCTTTGACTTCCTTGGGGCTTGTCAAACTTCTCCTTCTATAAATACCTATCCTTTCTCTCCTTAGCCCATCAACACAATCGCTGTATTTTCCATTATTTTAGGAAACCATAATCCACCATATATATACTTGAACAAATCTCCTTCATTCTATATACTGAGAGAAACATAGAGAAAGTGATCGGTCGTCAAGTGAATGGAGTTTAATCAGTTTTCCCAAGTTGCCATCCTGCTAAGCATGGTTGTCATTCTTATTTTCTTTGTATTATGTAAAATATTATATTCTTGGTGGATTCTGCCCAAACTGAAACATCAGAAGCTTAAGGCAAATGGATTTGAAGGACCAGCACCAAGTTTCCCTCTTGGAAATATTAATGAAATGAAGAAGGAGCTGATGAACACAGCTTCTTCTGCTACTTCGTCAGCTTCTCTTTCTGCCTTAAGCATTAGCCATGATATCCATTCATTGGCATTTCCATACTTCGCTAGGTGGCAGAAATTGCATGGTATATTCAGCAGCTTATTTATATTAACTTAAGACTACGTACAATAGGTATATACTATTTTCTTGTTCATTGAAGCATTAATTCATTATATATATGCAGGAAAAGTATTTGTATACTGGCTGGGAACAGAACCATTTCTTTACATAGCAGACCCTGAATTTATCAAGAAGATGTCTGCGGGAGTAATGGGCAAAAGTTGGGGGAAGCCAACAGTGTTTAAGAGGGACAGAAAGGCAATGTTTGGTAATGGGTTGGTTATGGTGGAAGGAGATGAATGGGTGAGACACAGGCATGTTATTACTCCCGCTTTTACCCCATCCAACGTCAAGGTATATATTACTATCTCTCTTTCCCCCCTGTGCTTGCACTTTCTACTTTCTTCAACCATATTTTATATAGTACTAGAAATCAGTTTTCATATGTGGCTCCACATAAAGTAAAATGATTTTAAAACTCAAATTGGTGAATGCATGTGATGTGACTCATCCATAATTCGATCGATCGCGCGAAATAGTGAAAACTGATGATTGAGTCTCTACAACATATTAGCAAGTTAATGATTTAATTTATACTAGTATATAAACAATGTAAAAAAAAAAATTACAGTATCAATATGTAATTTTTACCGATCATACATTTTTTTAAGTTACCGAATTAGAGTTATCATAAACTATAACCTGTTGTTTGGTTTCCAGGGCATGGCAAGATTAATGGCTGAGTCCGCAAAAAACATGCTAGACCGTTGGGCTGCTCTCATCAACTCCGGGAACCCAGAAATCGATATCGAGAAGGAAATAATAAGTACCGCGGGCGAAATCATAGCAAAGACAAGCTTCGGCGTCAGCTACGAAAATGGAGACAAAGTTTTTACCAAATTGAGAACCATGCAATTCACACTTTTCAAGTCTACTCGTTATGTCGGGGTACCATACGGTAACCTCATCATGTGCCCTATGGAGACTCTAAAAGCTCATAATCTAGGGAAGGAGATTGATTCTCTGATTATGTCGATCATTGAAAATCGTAAAAAGGTGAACAAAGATGATCGTACAGAGCACAATCTTCTTAGTCTGTTGCTGGCAGGGAACGGGAAGACATTGAGTACGAGGGAACTGGTGGATGAGTGTAAAACGTTCTTCTTTGGAGGACATGAGACCACTGCGCTGGCACTCACGTGGACTTTGTTGCTGCTCGCGGTTCATCCAGAATGGCAAACTCAGCTCAGAGAGGAAATCAAACAAGTGATGGGTGATGCTGAAATTGATCCCACAAGACTTGTTTGTCTAAGAAAGGTAAGGTAATTAATTATTCTCTAGTTTCTGTTAGACATGTGAACCATCTGTATCATATTCTATAACTGATTATTATTGGTCTACATGCTTAACGTTCTCTTTTGTCTTCTCATTTAAGTTCTCTTGATACAACGAAAAAATAAAGAAAAGGAAAGCTAAGAACAAAAGCAAACTTTTAAGTCTAGATATATTACATGATGCCACGTAATAATTCTAATATAAACTTTACACATGTCAACGCCCTGCAGCCAAATAGCTGGCTTTGACCAACAGGAAGAAAATAAGAGACCACATGTAGCACATGTACCAACATTGGTACAATTTGTTAAAAGGATGAGTCGCCGGCCTCGGCACAATCGTCAATATAATAGTCAAGCCTACTCACCTCAATCTTATTGTCTTATCTTCACCGTTCTAACCCAAAAAAAAAAGGACAAATAAATAAGAAGAGAAAGAGAGAATATTGTTCAGGATATTCATTTTTTCTAATGCATATATATATATATATATATATATATATATATTTGATTTGGCACTAGAACTAAAAATTTGAAATGTGAATATGCAGATGGGATGGGTGATGAATGAAGTACTAAGACTATACTCACCGGCACCAAATGTACAAAGGCAAGCCAGAGAGGACATTCAAGTAGACAACCTAGTCATCCCCAAAGGAACAAATATATGGATTGATGTGGTGTCCATGCATCACGACAAGCAACTTTGGGGAGAAGACGTGAATGAATTCAAACCAGAAAGGTTTAAGGATGACATGATATATGGCGGATGTAAACACAAAATGGGATATTTGCCTTTTGGTTTTGGAGGAAGGATGTGCATTGGTAGGAATTTGACAATGATGGAGTACAAAGTTGTCTTGTCTTTAATATTGACAAACTTCTCCTTTTCCATTTCACCTAACTATAGACACTGCCCTTCTATCATGCTTTCTCTTAGGCCCACACAAGGATTGCCTCTTATATTCCAACCTCTTTAGAATTCTAGAATAATTGTTCTTTTTTAAATAACTCTCAGTTTTATGTTAATTTGTCGTCTCCTATTTCATCTCGGTGAGAAATTGTAAGGAGGGATGTCTTGTGAACTACACTTCTCTTTTGTATGTGTCAAACTCGTGTACTGATCATTTCACAAATAGTGAGATTTATTGAAAAGTAATGTATTCACTCTTCTCATTTTTTTTTTCCGGAATTAGATATTTTGAGATGTTACCGACACTTTTTTTTAATTGCTAGCAATAATTTTTTTTTAAATATAACCAAACGGTAACGTGGATTTCTCGATGCGGAAAAGCAATAGAACAAATCACATCATGACGGATTTTAGTCAAAAAGTTTCAAATAATAATTTGTTTCAAAATTATAGATTTGTTATGGCGACGGAATAACAACGAAACATTTGGCACGCTGCATAGTTTTTCTTGATGACAAAATCAACCAAATTAGATTGCAATTTTTTCATTAGCATTGAATGTTTTTCGTTTAAATCTATATAGAGAAGGAAAAGATCGACGGATTGAAGTCTAGCACTCTGGCTAATCTGTTTTAATTAGCAACGAATTTCTTTTGCCGCCAAAGGCAGTTCATTTTCTTTTTCGTAGAGATCACCGTCTTCTGATTTTTCCTTTCTACACAAAGCAAGAACTAAGAGTTAGGGTTTTGTTCCTGAAAGTATTTATACTAAAAAAAGATATTAATAATTATTCTTAAATGATATTATAAATTTAGGAGAAGGCGATAATCCAGCTGTAATTTTTTGCAACCATGATTTCAAACAATAGCTACAAAGAAATTAATATTGTTTACCCTATGTCACGACCCGAATTTTCCCCCCTCGGGAGTCGTAATGGCGCCTACTAGTGAAAGCTACGCAAGCCAACCAACTGAACTATCTATCTTATTTCCATTTTTAATCCGATAACGGTTAAGAGCCAACAATTAGATAACAACAGAATTGAATAAGCGGAAGACTGCATTGTAGAGATTTAATAATACTGCTAATACCAAACCATAACAAATCTACCCAAGACTGGTGTCACAACTTCACAGACTGTCTAGGAGTACTACAAATAAAGGTCTGAAAGAAATAAATACAATACTGTCTCTAGAAATACATGAAAGAAACAGGAATAGTAGATAGAAGGAGACGCGCCAAGGCCTACGGACGTCTGCAGGACTACCTTGGATCGCCTGATGAACAAGAAAACAGCAATCTCACTGTGGTCCGAAGTTTACAACACTGGGATCTGCACAAAAGAGTGCAGAGTGTAGTATCAGCACAACCGACCCCATGTGCTGGTAAGTGTCTAGCCTAACCTCGGCGAAGTAGTGACGAGGCTAGAACCAGACTACCAAATAAACCTGTGCAATATAGAGTACAAAAATAATAGGAAGCAGATAACAATGATGGCAACAATGACCAACTAGTGATGTAAATAGCAGGCCACAAGAACACCATAAATGTTACTCAACAAATAATAGATACAAGTGCAATCAATTCGTCAAGTCCTTCAAATATAAATCTTTCGCCTATAAATCCTTCAAGTAATAATCTTCAAGATAATATGCTTTTCAATGAATATATATCGAATATATTTTCTTTAAATAAAATATCTTTCAAATAAGCATCTTTCGAATATAATTCTTTCGAGTAAATGTCACCTTGTGACGCCTCATTCACTTAACATAAAGTAGAGTACAACTTCCAACCCAATTAGGAAATCAACAAGAAAATATGAAGTTATTTTTAGAAAT